TGGGTCCCTCCGTTATTTTTCCAAATCCATGCAGGTAGAAAAAGTAACGTAAGTCCCCATGGTTCCTAGTATGGTGTTCTACCTTCAGTTGTTGGCGATCTATAGCCAGTGTTTTATACTGCATCGTCTCCTTTAATTGGAATGTTTTAGCTTTGCTCGCTAGTTTTATATTCATATCTGTGATACTCTAGCATTTTTACTGTCCGTCGCTGGCAGGTTTTAATCTTCCAAATGTTTTAACCTTTTATTGTCTGGATTGTTCTCGCCACGATATGGCTGAGATATTGCCGATGTGACGTTAAATATTAACTTACTCACTCACTCACTATTTTTCCAAAAGACATGAGACCCTCATTCATCCTTTCAGAAGACAAGGGACCCTCCTTCATATTTCCAGAAGACTATACACACATGACACACTCCTTCATATTTCCAGTAAAATAAGCAGACATGAGACTCCTTCATATTTCCAGAAGACATGAAGTCCTAATTCATCTTTACAGAAGACTATACACACATAATACACTCCTTCATATTTTCAGAAGGCTATTGAGACATGAGACCAACATTCATTCTTCCAGAAGACATGGGCCCTCCTTCGTATTTCCAGAAAACAAGGGAACCTCCTTCATATTTCCAAAAGACATGATACCCTCATTCATACTTTCAGAAGACATGGACCCTCCTTCGTGCTTCCACAACACAAGGGACCCTCCTTCATATTTCCAGAAGACATGAGACCCTCATTCATACTTTCAGAAGACATGGGGTCCTCCTTCGGTTTTCCAGAAGGTTATGCAGACATGAGACCCTTATTCATACTTCGAGAAGACATGGAATCTCCTTCATACTTCCCGAAGGCATAGGACCCTCCTTCATATTTCCAGATGTCTAGACACACGATACGCTCCTTCATATTTCCAGAATGCTATTAAACAGACACAAGACCCTCATTTAAACAAAAGATTGGACAGACAGTAGATGGTCCCTCAAACTAACATGGTACACTCCTTCAGACCAGAAGAAGACATGGAGCCCTACTTTACACACGATACCATAGACAAAGATTCTCTCCTTATATTATCAAAAGATTGTTGTGACCCTCCTTCGTGTTTAGACCCTCTAATTGCATAAGACTATACAGATATAATACACTTCTTCATATTTCCCGAATACTATATAGACACTAGCCCCTCCTTCGCATTTCCAGAAGGCTTTACAGATATGATACACTTCTACATGTTACCAGAAGACTATATAGACATGATACACTTCTACATGTTACCAGAAGACTATATAGACATGATATAATCCTTCATATTCCCCTAATGCTTCCAGATGACTGTAGAGACATAGGGCCCAGCATTAAAGTTCCAGAAGACTACCCTGTAGACATGTGTCCTTCCTTCATACATCCAGGAGACCACAGAGACATGAGACCCTGATTTATACTTTTAGGCTCCTACAGACACATGAGACCTTTTATAAGTGGGTTTAGAGACCATTCTTCAATATGACATTCACACAAACAAACCTATCCGCTCATTACCCAGCCAGGAGGCAAACATTCCATATCAAGGTTGAAACTGTCAACATAATGTTGAGACATGACATGACATGACAATGACCTCAGGGAATCAGACAACACTGTGGAGCGGTTTTCCTCATACAATGTGAAGGCAATCATCAGTGACCATTGCTAATTCTATGCAGTTATTGCAAAACATGCCAACCAACAGAAGTCGATTTTGATCGTTTGTTTAGGATTCTGGCTCCTTCGATTTCAGTTTTCTACTGAAATGGTTAAGCAAACTCTGTGTTGTTTAAAGGAAATAACCGTCTGGTAGCCATACTGTCAGGTAGTAAGGCTCCAATGATGGGTATTGATAGATTAAAAACTTGCCAACATGACTTGAAATCATAAATTACAATTCTTTAACAGAGTTGATAGTAAGATGTGATGAGGTTGACTATTCATTTGAGATCTATTAAAAACTGAAATCGCCACTGACAGAGTGGGCTGTTAAATATGCAAATCAGTTTATAAATACCAGTGGCATTGTATTCATGACATTATTAGAGTCACATTTAAGATCAAAGATAAGGTACGTACAAATAGAGATTGAATGGTCTAAGGTCGAACTTTGTGTCATCACCAGAATCAGTCAACCATCCATCGTTGTTTACCTGAAACAAATGACGAACATGAGGATGACAGAATACACATGAGACGTCTTCTACGTAACTGTAGTGCCATCATGTTTTCAATTTATATATTAATTATAAGATTTATTAGACATCGCCATTATATCGCCAGCACTATATCGCAAATGTACGTGTCAGACTGAAAGCATGCAAGTGACATAAATAGATTGTAAACATCAGGTAGCACATATCCGTACGCATATGTGCATCCTCTTCCGTTCTCCTAGCAAATAGTACCATCGGTTTAGGCGTTGTCATTTTTTGAATATTATTGCATAAGGAGATTAGACATATTTATGATACGTGTTGCAAAATAGGTAACAAAACAACGTCAGTTGTATTTAAACATTAAATTTTATATTTGGCCAATCAAATAAATGCACTCTAGTCTGTGCAGTAGAGAAAATGCTGCAGCAGGGTTGGACTTGTATGGTCCTGTAGACATTTTCTGAACAGTTTCGGCAGAATTGCATTGTATTGTTGGCATTGAGATTTACTTCAAAACACCAGATATGTCTGGCCCGCGTATGTGTCGCAAAGTAAGTTCATTTTCTATATTCGATGTTCCAAACGAACTTCGATAAGAACAATATTCATCGATGTCATGTCAGCCGTTTTGATTAGATATGTTCGGTTAAAAAGTCCCTTGGAACGAAATGCAATCACAAAGGGTTTTTCATCACAATGTGTCTTTTATTTAGAGTTTTAGTATGATTATTTTGTAATACAGGGCGCTTTGAAACCTCATGACCGCCATTGCCGGCAGCAGTGGTAAAACAACCGGAAGTTGTTATGACGCCCACAATGCCATCTTGTAGGATATGATGTCATGCAATATTGAAATCGATATAAGGCAGGCTTTAACCTATATTTACAACAACACCTAATTCACTGGAAGCCTGAAGGCACACTGCACACACAAACACAGAGAGAGAGAGAGACAGACACAAATACCCTAAAGAAGCCACGAAAAGTCCCTGTCGCATATTCTTAAAATACGTTTTCAGTGTTCCTAAATTTGCCAACCCAACAGTATATGGTCCGTCTAATATACAAAGTTTATATGTTAAATCTTGTCTTAGTTCTGAAATGTCATGGTGTTATAACAGAGTGTTACTCTATACGCAATGAGATTGATTCGTACTTCGACACACACATTAAACAAGTTGTAACAACGCCAAAGGCACAGTCACCACCGTGACATGGGCGTCACTTATTACGCAGTTGTCATGGATGAAAAAATTACATTGAAGCAGGGAAATAAGCAGAACTTACTTTGTAGTCATCCTTGAAATATCAAATTCTACATAATTTCCCATGCCACACTTTGAGAATGTTCATTGTGTCCGTTTATAAAATATAATTGGCACAAAAAAACATAATTCTCTGAAAGAGCAGAACCCATTGGACGGTTTTGACTTCATGCCAGGGCAAGTCAAAGTCGGGTATCAGATCAGACATAATTACACTCACCAGTTTGTCAAAGTCCACAATTCTTCAGCGTGTCTTCAATAAAACTGTAACGGAAATTTCGAAGTTGAGAAAAGCTTGACAACAAAAGTATCCTTTGTAATAGTTTAAAATGTTTGAGATTTAACTTTAAAAACACCATGGTGTATCATCTGAATTTATCCAAACTGTGCTTCGAATATTTCACACAACACTAAACAGCCCACAACACCAAACAGCTGGCTCCACTGTGCATAATACCTATACACTACGTGTTGTAACATGATCAGGGCAGCTGCACCTAAGTTGTATGCACACCTCGATCTACTTCATTTCACACGAGGGTACACAATGCCGTTCAAACATGATCGCTGAATGGTGATCGATAAATACACGAAAAGGTATTCGTTGTGCATTCAGAGCATGAATGTTCATTAACTTACTGAGCCAAGCGTGCTATGACTACCAAACAAAGTAATGCATGCTATTTAAACATTTTAACCGGCAAATATAGGACACTATTATCATTGAGTTTGTTATGTCTTAGAATGAACAGGGGAAATAAATACATCGGAATCTCTCAAAACCGGGAACCTCCCATTCCGGCGTGTCCTCAATATCGGCACTAGAATTTGGTACGACGAAATCTCCCTCACTCGAGGGACCATTGCATGTACGTGGAGATATCAGACTAGAATATCTGCTGCTTTTCCGCCTATTATTCCTTCCTCATTTTACTTCTAAACAAACTACAAACTTCAAAAGCAGGTTAAAGCATTTACTGGCATCCTTCCTTACTGTTCCAACTTCTAAATGACTCTCAAAGAAGTTGCATGTTTTTTGCGTGTGTTTTTGTTGCGTGTGTATCCGTGTGTTCGTGTATGCGTGCGCGCAGGTGTGTGTCTGCTGATACTTCTTCTGTTATGTTGAGCCAGTGAGATGCCTTGAAGCTGTTCAATAATGGACAAAACATTCAGACATATCAGGCAAAATGTTTAATTTCTTGCAATCAAGTAATGATAATGATGATCATTAATATGAATCCTTACATAAATTGATACTGGTTGTATACAGGATAGATAATTGTTGTAAGAAGTAACTAACGGGATCAAGTGGCCATGCTCGCTGACTTGGTTGACAAATGTTATCGTGTCCCAAATACGTGAATCGATGCTTATGATGTGTAGACTCAATTCAGATCGCCGTCATAGGACAGAGCTAGAATATTGTTGAGTGCGGCGTTAAACAAAAATCAGTCAGTCAGTACACAGGATAGAATAGATTTTATCACTAAGTGTCAACTGTTTACATAACCATATATATATATGTGTATGTGTATGTTACAGTTACAGGTGGCATCGGCCTTGGAGTTTAAAGATGAGGTAGAAAGATCTTGCCTCCAGAAACTACTCATAAGCGACCCCGAAAGATACTGGATCGTTATGTGTGACAGAAATCAGGATGATGCACAGATGGCACTTACATTACCTGCCAACCTTCGGCATGAAAGTCAAGATGTGTTTTGTTTGCATGCGTCCTAAACATATTTTATGTGCAAACTATTTGCCTGCCGACATGGCAGGGTCTGCTTAACCCTCTTGTGAACACCTGCAGTCATCAGTGATCTTCCGGGACCGATAATTAGTCTTTTATGGCGAGTGGAATTAGTTGTGGTGGGGAGTACACTCTGTCGTTGACATTAAATATTTATTTGGTGGTTTAGCCTAATGGTTAAAGCCTTGGTTCGACACGCCGAAGTCCCGTGTTCGATTCCTAACCTGGTTATACTATGTGAAGGTCCATTCTGGTATTCCCCGCCGTGATATTGCTGAAATATTGCTGAAAGTGGCATAAACATATCCTCACTCACTTATACTTACACTGTTTCTTGTGTGGATAGACTGCTTAAGTCCACGTCCTAAAAGCAGTGACATGTGTCAATTATGCTGAGTGAACTGCAAATGAACTGTTTGGAACGATATATCAAACAGCAACGTAAAAGCAAGAAAACAAATTCTCATCGGAAGAGGTTCCTTTTGGAACAAAAATAACCCATAGAAAGTAAAATTCATTTAAACAGATCACTGTTTTTATCTGCTGGTAGACAAAAGTCCCCGCGCTTCATCAAAAGCACTGTAGCGTCTATAAATTGTGCTGAGTTAGCTGAACAAGGTTGGGCTGAAATTTCAACAGGCAGTACAGCAACCAACCAAAATACATACATGTACGTATAGCTTCGTCTAACGTTCCTTGTCATAAAAATCATGTTTTTATTCAGCTGCCCATGGATACACAACAGATATTCCGCACGTACTTTGACTATCATCTGTCATCAGGGATGAGCATGGGAACAGCACTTTATATGATAGAGGCAGCGGTGAATAGCTTCTTGGATCAGCTGTAACCATCAAGCATATGGGAGTGTGCAATGCTGAGTGCATCAACAAATGTGGAGTGAAGTCTTGAACTTGAATGAGTACATGTATGTGGATGGCGATATTTATACAGCACATTGAATTCTAAGTTCGTCTTCTGGCTCACAACTGCATTTACAACATCGACATATCTTTCTATCTATCTATCTATCTATCTATCTATCTGTCTGTCTGCCTGTCTATCTATAAGATCTCATCACAGTTCACAAGCCCTGCCGATCTCTTCGTTCTATGTACTAGTTCCTCCTATATACTCCACTCAGCCAAATAAAATATGGGTGACAGAGCTTTCTCGTCCGTAGCTTCACACCTCTGGAACAGTCTTCCCATATCTCTCAGGCCACCAATGGCAATATCAAACCCTTAAATCAGCTCTGAAGACATATCTTTTTCTTCAATCATAAAAAAATGACTACATTTTCTAGTTTCTGTTGTTACAATATGTTTTTAACTTTTTACACAGAGACCCTTACTGATGGCTATTAGGCGTTATAGAAATCATCATCATCATTATTATTATTCTTATTAGTAGTAGTAGTAGTATCGATATGCTTCCTACTCTTTCAATTGTTAGTCATTATGAAGGAGTGAACAGGAACATTCTGGCGGGAGGACAGGTTTACCAAAGGATCATCTTTCTCTCCCGTAATAGATTCTTCTAAGATCGATAGTAAGTAGATTGTTGTAATAGCGGTAGGAGCGAACAGGTAGCTTGATAGTAAGTAGATTGTTGTAATGGCAGAATGTAGAACTTATAGTCTGATAGTAATTTGTTTGTTGTATTGGCAGAATGTAGAACTTATAGTCTGATACTAAATTGTTTGTTGTAATGGCAGAATGTAGAACTTATAGTCTGATAGTAAAATGTTTGTCGTAATGGCAGAATGTAGAACTTATAGTCTGATAGTAAATTGTTTGTTGTATTGGCAGAATGTAGAACTTATAGTCTGATAGTAAATTGTTTGTTGTAATGGCAGAATGTAGAACTTATAGTCTGATAGTAAATTGTTTGTTGTAATGGCAGAATGTAGAACTTATAGTCTGATAGTAAATTGTTTGTTGTAATGGCAGAATGGACAGAATACGCCGAGTCAGTATCATTTTCAATCAGTACGCTGTAACTCAAGTTCCATGTGCTATATACACGTAACGGCGTACTGTGGACCTAAAATATTAAAAAGCATCTAAGAAAGACGCCAGCCATTAAACGAGACCAGGGTATTTACCTTCCCAGTGTAAACTCCGGTATTCTATAAGCATACACATTGTCATACCGTTTATCTCATTGACTTCGTACAAAAAATAAAAAGAAGTTGTCATTCATAAAACGTGTCATGTATTCATTTACGGGACAATGTGTGTTCCTATTAGATATACTTACAGGTAGTGACTTATTACATATACGTTGTCTCACTGGCAGAACTGTTTGGTGTTTGACACTCCACTCAGAAATATTCCAGCCATATGATGGCGGACCAGACAATGCAGTGATTTGTATTATGAGCATCGATCTACACAGCCAGGAAACAATTACATGTATCGACCAAGTCAGCGAGTCTGACCACCGTATCCCGGATGGAATCTGTACAATACATACCAGGTGACAGGCACACAAATGGTTATTGTTTGTGTCCATTATAACCTGAAGGTTAAAGATGGTTTCACCGCTTGGCGAAGTAAAATAGGTATCTCACATGTAGGGATAACAAGAAAGGCCTTTTAAAAAGGCAACGTTGAAGGCACCTGAATTAATTTAGAAATTTAGTAAGACGGACGTGAGATGATTTGAGGAGTTGAAGCTGATTTCAAGAGCATCACGATAACAACAGCTCCGTCCATTAGACAGTTGCCTCTATTAGAGATCGGTACTCTCATCGCAAGTTCGGTACGCTCATCTCTAGTATATGATATTTCAAATCAAGTGCCTTTGTCATGTCTAGCCATGTCTTACTGAGATACATAGCGCTCACATACACGATCGCTATGAACAACCTCTGTAGGCCGCAATGGAGAAAACCCTTTGTCGCACTTTCGCGCACCCGTTACGGTTATTGCGCACGAAAGAAACTTATATGAATGACTTCTCTGTACTTATACCTACAAGTGGCCCCTACTTTCGTTATCAAAATATCCAGAGGTTAATATTTACAAGCCATCAAACATCTTAGTCGATCTCTCGCATGTCAGCGGTGTCATTTTGAATCACGTGACCTGTGATGAGCGGGAATTCCCTGTCTTAAATAGTAACAGACGTCAGCACTATATATATGTCGGATATGTGTGAGCGCTATGGGTGTTACTAAAATGGAATGTATTTTCCGATTCTGCAATTCGAAATTATACCCTGAACTAATGCAAGTGTGCTCCGTTACGTGTAAAATTGTTTTGAATGGAAATTGTATCAGTTTATTAACCTTTCTAATCAGTAAAAACACAGAATGTGTTTAAATTAGAGATTTATAGATTTCCGCATTAAAGAGGGACAATTATGTATTACCCACATGATCACGTGGCTCCTTTGTTCATTGGTCACTTGGAATTGAGAAAATACTAAGTATTATTGGCTGAAAATTATTTGGAATATTCAATGTGCATATATAGAGAGGAATTTTACCTGAGAGAAATTCCAGCCTGATTATAACGTTGGAGGCGTTTGCGCAACCAACCAAGAAACCTGCCGGAGTAGAAGTTGCCACAGTCGTATATTACATTCCCGTGTACAGACAACTAGGAAAGATGAAAACAGTGACCCATATAGCTGTAACAGGGTAACCATCTGTTCGTGTATGGCGGAGGCGGGTCGCGATCTCGCTGTGAGCACACATGTTTGAGAGGATAAGGTGGCATAGTACCGTATGAGTTACCCCCCTTGACCAGTACTTCTCAATCGGCTTTCGCGTGTCACAGAGAGCAGTACCCTTTGATCAGGCAGCGATTCCAAATCGTGTATCAAGTAGGGCTGTTTTAACATACCAGTCCACTGCGTACTTATTTGCTATCTGAACATCGCGAACAAAAACGACAGATACTAAAAGAATGAGAGACAGTGTAGTTTCATGTCCTTTGTAGCAATATTCCAGCAACATCATGGCGGGGAGACGAAAACAGTGTATTCATGTGGGCCTTCTGCCATAGGCCCCCACTGCGGGTCAGAAAATCGATTAACTTAACCCCGGTTTCCTATCCAGCTCACCTGCCATCTAATTTGTAAAGGTTCATCACAGAAATACGTCGAAATGATCGAAATCCGGACAATTACGCACACATCAATCAATATATCGTATTTTAAAGGTCTCACAAGTATCAAAAGCTTTTGTCCATATCACCGATGTGTGTAGTAAGCATAATACAGAATTTCTTAAAATATACTTTTAATCAAAAGTTTAGACTCACTAGTGTAAATATAGCCACTTACTTCAGGCAATTGTTTAAAGGTACTGTTTATACATGAACACACACACACGCACACACACACACACACACACACACACGCACGCACGCACACACACACACACACACACGCACACACACCATAACACATAACATATGGTGTGTGTTTTATAGTCCGTCAACCCAACTTTTGGAACACGGATTTTTGCTAGTTACGTTTAAACAACAAAAGGTATCCAACTTTTATTCGCTCAGTTAATAATGTGATCTGGCGACCTATTCGGGTGTTGAATTGCTAAAATATACAAACCTTTAAACAGGATAATTTACCCCCTGAAATGTGCATGAATTCTACATGGGCCCTCATATGTATTCCTCACATTACGTTACGGAGACGCGCCTCTCTGAGTGGTTGAAATTTCGTTCGCGGGCGAGAATTGTGCACTGTTTTCAAAAAGGTCGATTTAAGTTAATTAAAGATCGAAATGGGTAGTTTCAATGACGGGGTTTCATTTATAACGATGCCAATTACTGATTTTTGTATTTGTACCCCTTAGAGTATTTGTGAACTTAAAGAAACTATCATATAAAGTTTCTGACAACAACAACATTTTCACAAGGGAGTACTGGCAAGTACTGGAATAGCTATCAACAATGTCGCAATGTGTGTCAACATGTTATGTACATGCATGCACGAGCATTTACTGGGGAGTGTTTGTGGCGTCACAGCTAGTGTTCAGGTGTCGGCAAAATGTTCTCTAAAGATGCACGGGTCACAGTTAAAAGAGTACGTGCGGTTTTCAAGAAAGAAGCCAGGAGACAAAACCCTTAATTTCTCGGAATTGCTACACGAAACGTACACTTCATTCTATCAAGGTTTCAAAAACAACGGTTCATCGCATTATCTCCCTTGACAAGGATGCAGTCTGACACTGAAACCCGGGGTGGGTCGCGGAGCATCTCAAAACATCCTAAGAAAGGGAAATTAGATGATTTTGATAGACGAGGAGTGAGGCATGTAATTCGGCGTTTAGACAAGTCGAATGAGGCTACATCTTCCAGAAAGTTGAAGAAGATGCCTCAAGATGACCATGATACCCATGTCTCCAAGTACACAACATGCAAGTTATTGTTTAAATATGGATACCGCTTCAAGAGACTGAGCAACCAAAAGTTGACACTCTGTGAAAGGGGCGATACCATAGCAATGAGAGCTCGGTATCCGAGGAAGATTCGTGAGATGAGAGAAGAAGGACATGAAATCGCGTGGCTTGACGAAACGTGGGTAAATGCTAACCATACATCTTCTTACCAATGGCAGCACCTGGATGCAGAGAACAACAGAAGAAAAGGAGAGATCCATAATCCTTCATGCTGGCTCTCGCTTGGGGTTTCTTCCTGGATGTGATGTTGTTTTCAGGGCCAAATCCAAGGATGGAAGGGATTACCACATCAGTGTTCACTGAATATGTGACTGAACAGCACTGGTTGTCCATTCTGTGATCGTAATGGGCAATGCACCTTATCACAGCTGCATTGACCCCCAGGATAAGTGTCAAACCTCAGCTTCCAGAAAGGGAGATATGATCGCTTGGCTTGACAAACATTTTTTAAAAATATTTTATTTATAATCTATTTAAATTGCTGTAGGAGTCTGCACACAAAGTTGACTCCAAGGTTTTCACACCCGGTCACAGGTGGGCTTGATCTCTGCACCTCAAGCTCGCTGGATCACTAGCCTGGCGCCTTAGACAGCTCGCCCACCACGCCCATGGCATCGAACATCATAAAAAAACAACCACTTATTTATCAAATTGACAATCTACATGGTCATGAAGTTGTACGTCTCCCACCCTATCACTGCGACTTAAATCCGATAGAACTGGTATGGGGCCACCTAAAAAAGCAAGTTGCACAGAAGAACAAATCGTTTAAGTTAGCCGACGTAAAACGTATTGTGATTGACAATATTTGTAACGTCCCAGCAGATTTGTGGAAAAATTGTGTAGATCACGTTTTGCAAGTAGAAGAATAATACTGGCAAAATTATGGGTTGCAAACAGAAACGGTCTCACCATTGATCATAGATTTGGACTCAGAGTCTGACTCTGACATTGATATGTTCTCATAATATGGCAAGTCTTCACCTTCTCACCTTTGTAATATTAAAAGGTTTGATAATCATATTAATTCTTACCTTTACCGTTCATACAAATGAATCATTTTAAAAATCTGTCTAAAATGAAAAATAGTTTGGTGATACGGTCCCGTCTCAACATGTCCATACATAATCACGATGTTACCCAACCTGCACGTGACACACACATTGCGACATTGTTGATAGCTATTCTACTACTTGCCAGTACTCCCCTTGTGAAATGATGCTGTTTTCAGAAACCGTATATGATAGTTTCTTAAGTAAAATCTTTAATAGTTGATATATATTGTAGCAATTCAACACCCAATTAGGTCGTCAGATATCATTATCAACTGAGCGAATAAAAGTTGGATACCTTTTGTTGTTTAAACGTAATTACTAAAAAACCGTGTCCCAAACGGTTGACGGACCATAAGTGAGTCTAAATCTTTGAAGAGTCTAAAGCTTTGAAGAGGAGAGGAGTATATATTATTTGTATTGACATCAGCATTTATCAAGTACATA